ATTACACACACACACACGCACGCACGCACGCACTCACGCACGCACGCACGCACGCACGCACGCACGCATACACACAAACATTTTATTGAATATATTCATTTATTCATTTAATATAATTGTTTGCATGATTATTTCTATCACAAATTACCATTACTACGAGAAATTAATTGATTACTGATTTTCCTATAGACTACTCTTTGTTGTGCATTGTAATATGAATATGAAAGAAAGAGAGGAAAAATTTTATGGTATGTATGAACCAAATTATTCGTTCACTCTATATTTTGTTAAGTGTATACAACTTTCATTTCAGTTAGTTTCTTTTCTGTTATCAAATCATCTTACTGCATTTTTTTATGCATTTATTTATTTATGCATTTATTTTTATTTAAACAAAAGTTTGATATGCTGTCTATTATATTTTTTACGTAATTTATTATTAATCAAGCACAATCCTCTTTAACATTGTAATAAGCTAAAATAATATAATGGTTGGAAATTAATCATAATAATTTAATTAATTTTTTATTGTTTTTTTTTTTATTATCTCTATTTGTCAAATTTTCAGTATTCATTTTTGGAATAACAAAACTCGTCACTTGAATAACTCCATAGACAATACATTACACTATATACCATAGACAACATAAATTATATTGTTACGCATGTTTGCTATGCATGCATGCATTACTGTTCGTAATAATTAAGGTTTACCCTGTAATTTCACTGCAAAATTACAAGGTACACCCTTCAAACACAAAAAAAGCCAGCACAGTGACTATTATACAAAGCTTCTTTCTGTTAAAAATAAAAATCTATATGTACAAACAAAAACGTGAAAAGCATTTGCAATAATTGAAGATTGTGTCCCAAAAAAAAACCTACTTCAGTTGAGATAAAACTAGTTAATTTGATCTGAAATGTAAACTATTGAAGCAATTTTGATAATTTATTTATTTATTTATTTATTACATCCACTGGGTGAGTCCTACAGTCTCCCAATACGCCCACCCAGGAAAGCATGAGTACAACAACATATAAAAAAAGGAATATTACACATATATAACAAGAATAATATAAAAAGACTTAAACAAAAACACAAATACTCTGTGGTCACCCGACGAAACTCCAGCAAGTTGGAGGCAAATACATCCAATTGCGGATACTGGCTCAAAATAACATTGAGTAGTTTCAATGCAAGAGATAGGGGAGCCTGCTTAGCGAACTCTGTTCTTCTTAATGGAACATCGAATAAGTGCCGTCGACGTGCTCGCACGTAGTCACTGGGCGCTCCTATTGATATTGATTCCAGTACAGTTTGGTTACACTTTTCCCCCCGCACTAATTTTAACACATACTCAATTAAATTTAGTTTTCGTCTCACTTCAGGTGTATTATAGCGTATTATAAAGTGTATTATATATTTCTGTGAGACCAATTTTTAAGTATAACTTTTGCAGATAAAAAAAGAATGTTCCAAATCGGTTTACAACTGACGTGAGTTATGAGGTAATAAATATAAAAAAAAGAAAACCTTTTCGAAATCGGTTGAAAAATCTAAAAGATAGTCAATTATTTAGAAAAAGTAAACAAACAAATAGACAGACTGTTTTATATCATCTGTGATAGTAAATAATATTTCTATGGAACCAATTTGTAAGTATACCTTTTCAGATCATCATTCATCATCATTTCAGCCATTATCCGTTCCCTGCTGGACATAAGCCTTCCCCATAAACTGTCATAAAGAACGGTCCTGAACCACCTGCATCCACTATCTTTTCAGATAAAAAACATACATACATACATATCTGTCACGCCTGTCTCCCATTAGGGTAGGCAGAAACAATGGAACGCCAAATTCAAACAAACCTCTTTCGCTTCTTCCACATTCATCAATCTTTTCATACACGCTCGCCGGTTACGGGTACTTTTAATTTGGCCCTTCTTCAGTACGTCACCTATTTGGTCAACATACGTCCGTCTAGGGTGGCCCCTACCGACATCTCCATTCATTCTTGCTCGATAAATCTCTTCCGTAATTCTACTTTCATCCATCCTCTCCAAATGTCCAAACCAACGCAACATTCCTTTTTCGATTTTTGTCACTACATCGTCTTTCAGTCCACACTTCTCTCTAATCACACTGTCAGATAAAAAAGTATTTTCGAAATCGCTTTAGAACTAATGAAGTTATGAGGTAACAAATATAACACAAAATTACAACCGAATTTAGAAACTTATTTCTTTTAAAATCGATTCAAAATAGTTCAAACTAACTCAACAGTATTTTTCTAGTAACTATTAATTTCTAATTTTATCCCCAATAGGACCAGCTACGGTCCTTAACCGGAACTTTCGACGAACACTCGGCATAAACTTGATTAATAAATAAACAATGGCTGACCAACTTTATACCAACTTGCAAGGTCACTCCGGAACTTCGCTTTGGAGTCCCTCCAAGTTTTCTCCCCGGGACTTGCGAACCGTCGCCAAATCTCTAGACGATAATCGTTTGAATATACCGGTTGATCTTCTGAGATCAAATCTAAATGGTTTGAAGAAGAAGCTGTAATACCTCTGGTGTTGCAGGCGTTTATAGGCTACGGTAACCATTTACCATCAGTTGGACCGTATGCTTGATTGCCACCTCAGTGGTATAAAAAAAACAAATACGACACTCAAGAACCTTTCATCCCCATCGGTTATCAGTTCTTCGATGACTAAAAATGTTTATATGCAGCTAATGGAGAGCAAAATTGCGTTTACATTGAAATGAAGGCGAGATAAAGGCCCGATCGACCACGTTCTATAACTTTGCCGCGGAGTTTTGACATATGCTGAAAGCGATCGTATATTCTCTACAAAGACCGGATATGTAAACTAAATGAAAGCTCATGAACGACCAACCCAGTCGATTTTATATAGTTTTGTATTGCGGTCGAAACGATATAGGACTGCTTTAATTCACATGAAAAGGTTTGCTGGAAAAATCTCTTATTAGAGACAAGCTCACCTTCGTACATTTTAAAATAAATTGTTCTTAATATTATGTTTGTATACAATAAAGAATAAATAACATATTTAAATCTTTAGGAGGAAACAATAAAGAGTATCTATCTATCTAATATATAGATGACAGATATACATATATGCATATATCTATCATGATATAATAATGTTATAGATTTTTTACTTATTTTTGGGACAAAGATGCCCATGCAAATGACTTTTGTACAAAATCTCCCTCTGGTAAAATAAATTTATGCATATATTTATTATTTATATATATATTTTTTTACAACACAGGGGGCAAACGAGCATGCGGCTCACCTGATGGTAAATGACTACCGCCACCCATGATCACCCACAACACCAACGGCATTGCAGGTGTGCTGCCAGCCTTTTAAAAAGGAATATACTCTTTTCTTGAAGGTTATGTTATCGTATCGGTTCGGAAATACTGCTGCTGGAAGTTGATTTTAAAGAATGATTGTGCGTGGGAGAAAGTGCCTTGAAAAACGCACGGTGGAAGGCCGCTACTCGTCCAGATGATTGGGATGAAACTTTAGTTTGTGGCAGGTTGTACGGTGGTGAAAATCAGCAGCAGGTATCAATCCGAACAATTCCTCAGAACACTCCCCATGATAAATTCGATAGAAGATGCACAGAGATGCAATTATATATTTATTCCAATCTATAAATACGAATAGGCATGTCTCGCTATCGAAATAGATAGCCCAGCTTCCATTAGATAAAAGATCGACATTATCCAGCATCCAATAAGTTTACTAGCGATTTCAGAAGTTTGTGTTTGTTGCCAAGTCTTAAGGGATTATTGGCTGACTGTTACATAGAATCCGAAATGGATTTTGCTAAGGTTTTTACGAGCTTGTAAACATATGTTTCTAGGTTTGATAGTTTATTTATTACTGAGTTGTAGTCGGTATGATTTTTTTCTATGCTCTTTGTATGAATCATTTATTAAAGTTTTATTTTATGAGAAATAAACACCTTAAAGAAAGTGATAGAATATAATGATAATTAATAATTGTAACTTTAATTAAACCCAAATTACTGAACCGGTTTTGATAAAATTTCTGTAATTTGAAATCCGTAAAAAGATTAATTATCCAAATTAGCTTTTAATTGACAGAATTATGAGATAACAAACATAAAAAAATAAATCCGAATTGAGAACCATTTTGAAAATTGCATTTTCAATTGAATTTAAAAATAAGGAGCTTCTCAATTTGATTATATTTTTTATGCTGATTATTTATTACGTTATGAGGTAACACCTCATTATTTAAGGAGGATATATTTATACATTGGTCTCATAAAAGTTTTATCAAAATCAATTCAGTAATTTACTTTGTAAATCAAAGTAACTGATTTCGCCACAATTGAAGTGGGTTTTTTTTTTGTAGTACACAAATTAATATTGGATAAGTTCTACTCTTTTCTTAAGAACTCTGTGTCCTATTTTAAATTTTTTTCTTATTAAAATAGTTATTAACTGTCCAATGCTGAACATAGGCCTCCCTTATTGTGGGGCTTTGTCAGTAGATGCTACGCTTGGCAAGCGGGTTGGTAACCGCAGTTTGCCTTTGGTTATATTTAAGAGTTTAGAGTTAGATATTTAAGAGAGACGCTACTGCTCATCCCTTGAGTATTATATTCCCTTGGGTATCCCTTTTTTAACTTCGAGATTTTAAAACTATATAGCATATTAAAGTGAGGTCAGAAGGGAAAAAATGTTAAGACATTTGATACGACACGACGAACTTATGAACATTCTAATTGAAGGTAAGATGGTAAAATAAGAAAGAGAAGAAGGGCAGATCGAGAAAAAAGTTAGTGTCGTGTCGTATCAAGAGGTGAAGAGATTCGTATAAAATCGTAGTGAGCGGCAAGAGCTCCACCGACAAGCAGCTCTTAAATATGTTTAGGATTTATTATGATGTAATTTTGGAAATAATCAAATTAAAGACGGAGACTAATTTGTATGACTTTTATAACGAATAACCAACGAACGAATAGAGAACATGAATCAACTTATTGTTGACGCTTTCTTGGCTAACAAAAAAGAATCAGGCGTTTAAACATGCCCCCCGGCGTTGAATGCCGTAGCTTCAACCAGACAGTGATGGCAATGGACAAATCTTGCTAAAAGCCCGTCGAATCACTCCGGTGGACGTTTTTATATCAGCAACCCGTACTATGCCGTCAGGTCCAGGATGAACTTCCACAATTCTTCCCAATTTCCACTTCAACGGCGGAAGATTATCCTCCTTGATCACTACTAAAGTGTCCAACTTCAAATTATCCTTGCAGGAACGCCATTTAACGCGTTGTTGTAATTCTGCAATATATTCCTTACTCCATCTAGTCCAAAAATGTTGACGAAGTTGTTCAATGCGTTGGAATCGTGTAAGATTATTCGTGGAATATAATCGATAATCTCGTTCTGGTAAGGATGTGAGTGATCGGCCAATGAGAAAATGACCTGGGGTCAGTGGATTATAGTCTGCTGGATCCGAAGAAAGTGGTGTTAGTGGTCGAGAGTTTAATACGGCTTCAATTTGTACAAGTGTAGTGTTAAGCTCTTCGTAAGTTAATGTACAATTACCCAACACTCGCTGTAAATGGTACTTGGTCGAACGGACACCCGCTTCCCAGAGGCCTCCGAAATGTGGCGCATACGCCGGAATAAAATGGAAATTAATACCGTCGTTTGCTGCACTTTCGCCTAAAGAATTAAAATTAGCCTTTAGAAATTTTGATAAGTCGTTGTATGCACCAACAAATGACGTACCGTTATCAGAATAAATATTAACGGGTTTCCCTCTTCGTGAAATAAATCGTCGTAAAGCCAGTAAATAATTGTTGCTCGTTAGATCTCCCACCAGCTCCAAATGAATGGCTTTAGTCGTGAAGCACACAAAAACCGCAATATACACTTTTACTAGTCTGCAACCGCGACCTTGACGATTTGCGCACATAATAGGGCCTGCATAGTCAACACCAACAGTCATAAAAGGATAACCACCGGAAAGAAGACGCTGCTGTGGTAAATTTCCCATCAAAGGAGTAACGACCTTACCCTTTATGCGTGTACATTTGATGCAATTATGATAGCAAGTCTTTGCTAAATTTCGACCACCTATGGGCCAATAACTTTCCCTAATGGACGCCAACAATAATTGAGGACCAGCATGTAATAATCTTTTATGCTCAAATGCGAATAATAATTTTGTAAAAATGTGAGTGGACTGTAAAATAATAGGGTGTTTTTTGTCATCAGAATAATTTGAGTTGTCAATACGACCTCCAACACGCATTATATTATTTTCGTCTAAGAATACGTTAAATTTTAAGAGTGGACTTTTTTTAGGCAAGCTTTCTTTATTCAAAAGTAATTTATACTCGGGAAAGGATTCGTATTGACAATTTGAAATTATTAAAATTAAGGAATATCGCAATTCCTTTTCACTTAAAAATATTGAGACTTCTGGCAGCCTTTTACATGAATTTATGAATCTTAAAACATAGGCTACCGATCGCACGAGTCTTAAATAATTGGAGAAGCGATTAAATTCAATGAGCCTTCTTGAGCTTACGTCGTGTACAATAGCGTTTAAAGAATGGTCTTGTTTAATCTCAGGTAAAACTTCGACATGTTTTGGTTGAGGGGGCCACTTCACAAAGTCATCACGAAGAAATATATATATATATATATGAGTTTTCATCAGTTGGTACGTGTCGCCAGGTACAGTTTTCTGTCCTTTCTAAGATTTCGGCAACGCGATTGCGTACAAACGGCTGAAGTCTAGAAGGTAGCATACGTAACCAACTTAAAACGATGGTGGAGTCAGTCCAGCAATAAACTTTATTTATTTTTAACCTCAACGAAGTGACGACTTTGTCATAAAGTCGAGCTGCTATCAATGCACCGCACAATTCCAACCTTGGGATTGTGGTTGGTTTGATCGGTGCTACTCGACTCTTAGCCATCAACAACCGAACTAAAACCTTTCCAAAATCACTAACACTACGAACATAAATGCAAGCTCCATACGCACGTTCTGACGCGTCTGAAAATACATGCAATTCTAGCAATTTGTGTGAGTCGCAAATAACAATTCTTGGAATACGAAGTTTGTTTAAAAGGGGTAAAGCTTCACGAATACGTTTCCAATTCTTATTAAGGTCATAATTTAATGGTTCATCCCAAGATAATTTTTGAATCCAAAGCTGTTGTAGCAGCAATTTCATATTAATTATGCAAGGAGCCAAAAGTCCTAATGGATCAAAAATTCGTGCAATTGATGAAAGAATATCACGTTTAGTATTGCCATCAGGGATTAAAGAACCTATGGGAAAACATAGTTCGTCAGAATTAGCATGCCAACTGAGACCTAATAACTTATTTGGATCATCATCATTGTGCCCAATATTTAAATCAATTGAAGAAATATTATTATTTGGAGACTCTATAATCAATCGAGGTTCATTCGATTTCCACTTCCTTAATGGCATACAAGCCGAAGCAAGTACATCAGTGACCTCTTTACGGATAGCTTGAACTTCAGTCAGATCATCACCTCCTGTTAAAAGATCATCAACGTAAAAATCATGTTCGATGATCTCTGCAATTTTGTCATTTTTGCATTCGATACTTAATTGTTTAAGACACCGTGTAGCCAGGAATGGTGCACTAGATGTGCCATATGTCACCGTGTTTAATATAAATTTTTGTATCGGCTTGTTTGTATTACTACGCCAAAGTATTTGCTGCAGATGTCTATCAGATGGATGGACAATAATTTGCCTGTACATTTTTTCTACATCTGCAGACAAAACATATTTATGCTGCCTAAAACGGAGTAGTATTGACACCAAATCGTCTTGAACAATAGGACCTATCATTTGGATGTCATTATAAGAAACACCTGACGTGGTAGGGCTACTAGCGTTGAATACAACCCGAAGTTTCGTAGTTGTACTACTATCACGCATAACACCGTGATGGGGTATAAAGTACTCATCTTGTTCTAGTTTAGGTTGTTCACATTTTGACATATGGCCAAGCAACTCATATTCTGACATAAAACTGTGATACATTTCACTTAAATTAGGCTTACTCTTTAATCGATGTTCTAAAGAATATAAACAATGTTCAGCTCGTTGAATTGACTCTCCTAAGACAGAAGAAGTTTGCTTGAGTGGTATACGGACGCAAAAACGACCATCATCGAGACGAGTTGTATTCGCGATAAAGTGCTCCTCGCATTTCTTTTCTTCTGGCAGATAATTATGTTTGGAGTTTATTTCTTCAAGCTGCCAAAACCGTGTCAGATCAGTTCGAATATCATCGAAATCCTGATTTGAAGTAGAATCGATTTTATTTAAATTGCATCTTAATTCACTTACGTCTGTAGTTGTGACATGATGACTAAAAATAGGACCTGAAATTATCCATCCTAATTTTGTTTCACATAAAACAGGCTTTTTCTTGCCTAATGTTATTCTTCGCGTACCTACCAAATCCCAAAAGAGATCAGCACCGATTAAAATGTCAACATGAGCAGGTATAAAAAACGTAGGATCCGCTAAACAAATATCAGTTGGTATGTCAATATTAGAAATATTCACTTCGTGACTAGGTATATTACTAGTAATAGATGGCAAAACATAACACTGAACCTCAGAGGAATAATTGTTATTTAATGACGTCATTTGTACATGACAACTTTTGCCTACGCATGATGTTGCGTTATTTATACCCAAAATTGACTTATCTACCTTACAAGTCATCAAATTTAAACGTTGACACAGTGTCTCAGTTATGAGACTCGATGTACTACCACTATCTAGTATAGCACGAACAATGTGTTCGCGATTGTTGTCGTCATATAATTTAATCAAGGCAGTAGATAATAACACATCACACTGAACTTTATTATAATTAGATATGTGTGTGGTCAAAGCTACATTATGTGAAGCCACAGATGATGTAGATGCTGAGGGTGTATTCACAGATGTAATTTTATTTTCATTACGTACCGGCTGATCACTAGTTACATGAATGAGACTATTGTGTCTTCGCTTGCATATTTTACAGCCTGATTTTTTGCATAGATTGGCAAAGTGGCCTGCGCGGAAACAATTAAAACATACCTTGTAGCTTGGTAGTAATTTTAGTCGCGCTTCAATACTTAAGGCAAGGAACTGAGGGCAATTTGCTAAATTGTGGTCGCCCTTACATTTAGGACAAACACGTTGATGTGATTCAGCTGTATTGGAATTTTGATTAGTATGTCCACCTTGTATCGACACCATAGATTTTAGTCTACCAGTAGATTTATGAGTCGAATTAATTTGACTAACACGTGATAGCTCTAATGTTTCAAATAAGTCAGCGCTACTACGTATAAATTGTAAAAAGATGTCAAATGTTATTGAGGCATCCTTTTCCATACGTCCTTTAAATTCCTCCCACTTCCGAAAGGTTTTGTTGTCTAATTTGTGAGTAATAATATAAATTAGAAGAGTGTCCCAATGTTTTACAGGTTCACCTAACGATTCAAGTGCTCGTAGGTTTTTATTTACCTGATCAATCAAACGTTTTAAAGTTACAGATGACTCCTTTGTAATAACTTCAATATTGAATAAAGACGATACGTGATTTTGTATTAGTAAACGTTTATTGTCAAACCTATCACACAAGAGTTTCCACGCAACGGCATAATTTTTAGATGAAAACTCAACTGATTGGATTACCACAGCAGCAGAACCTTCCAGAGATGCACGTAAATAATGGAATTTATTTATCTCGTCTATTTCATCGTTATTATGTATAAGACTAGTAAAAGTGTCCCTGAACTCAAGATAATTGTCGTACGACCCACAAAATTTTGGTAACTGGATGGTGGGTAGTTTAACGAGCTTATGATTACTCATGCGAGTACCCTTGTCACTTCCTATACTACTCATAGAACCTTCATTAATATTTTGCAAACCTTGAGCTTGAGCAATTGCTTTGAAGTATTGTGATTCAAATTCTGAGCGTTCTTTAAATTGCTCTTCAATATTATCAACAATACACTCTAAACGCAACTGTACCTGATCATATTGCTCATACAACGACTCAATTTTACCCATACGCAATTGTAATTCTCTAGCATCCGAAAGACTTAACGGTTCGTCAGTTAGCGAATGTAAATAGTTAATAAATGCAGTTAAACGACCTTTAAAACTACCACGTTTCTTAACTAATTCCCTTTCTTCGGCCATTCTGGGATTCGCGTGTTGTCGACCTGGAATTTATACAAATAAAAAATAAATTAATAAATGTAATAAACAAGGCACACAATAGATCCTTACTATATTGGTACTATATTACTATATTATTGGTACAATGAGCAAATAATATTTCAATCAATTAAATAGCTTTATAATACGATATGTTATATTTATAGTATAGGTACAGATGTTAATAGGTATATAGGAATAATATTTAAAAAGTATTCAATATCGGACAAATTCAAATTATTGAATTATGCACTACGTAGTTACAGAGATATACTTGATACGTGACTGTATAACTTATCCACTTCAGTTTATTAATAGAATCATACAAACAGTAAATAGTTCACTAATCTGCTAAATATGTATATTATAACCCTATAGAATCGTATAAAATTTTACTATAATAGAACAATAGAATCAGATACAATAGTAAAATATATCTACCTACACAATAATTATACGTGAATAACTATTACAATTTACACTATAATTATTCATTTAATAATCCAAACAATGTAGCATTAATGCTTACTATACTTAATTTAAGTATTATTTAGATTTAATTACAGCAAAACTTAAGTTAAACAAAAATTATTCACACTACAATAGGTAGAAACTTTATGTAAGTAAAATGAACGGTACAGATAAATAGTGTAATTATTTTTTACTAACCTTTTTAAAAATCCTTTATTTACACTAAATATTACCTGTCGAGTGCTGGGTTATATTTAAATATGAATAAATAAAGACTTAACACCACTGAAAATACACTCAATCCATCCACTGTAGGTAAACACTATCTTGATTTTAATAAATTCGTCTTTTATTCTTCTAGTTTAATTATATTCCACAAAATAATAGCTAATCCTTATCAGTTTCACATCCGGCTTCGATCTAGGACCATGTTTAGGATTTATTATGATGTAATTTTGGAAATAATCAAATTAAAGACGGAGACTAATTTGTATGACTTTTATAACGAATAACCAACGAACGAATAGAGAACATGAATCAACTTATTGTTGACGCTTTCTTGGCTAACAAAAAAGAATCAGGCGTTTAAACAAATAAGACAATACAAATTGTTACAAACACCCAAACCTTAATTCTTTTTGAAATCTGGTTGAAAATGTATGTATACAAGTATAGTTAGCCAGACTAAAGGATGTCACGTTTATGGCAGTTTTACGAATCCGCAAATATGCTGTCGTAAAGTGGAGTAATATTATTACCAATAAACTGTTTATTGAAGTGAGTAATAACTGCGCAAATTTAGAAATGCTCGAGCCAAACATAAGTATTGGAATGTGGTTGGAGGACCATTAACAACACCACTAATATTTGGCAGATCAATATCATTTCCCATAATACTACTAACCTACTGCAGTTGGGGA